CTCTCTCTCTCTGTCTCTCTGTCTCTCTGTCTCTCTCTCTCTCTCTCTCTCTCTCTCTCTCTCTCTCTCTCTCTCTCCTTCTCTCTCTGTCTTCTCTGTCTCTCTCTCTCTCTCTCTCTCTGTCTCTCCCTCCCTCCCTCCGCAGCGAAATCCAGGCTCTAGTGCCCCGACACTTGCTGCAGCCCCGTTCTGCTTTGAAGCGTTTCTTTAGTTACGAGCTCTCACGCTAAAGCGAGAGCTGACTCCTCCCACACTAAGAAAACAGGAGGGGAGGAGTCAACTGCAGGAGCTCATCACAGGAGCTCATCCTGTGCAGCGGAGCAGAGAGAGGGAGAGACACGAAGTAAACAAACAAGCAGGAAAATGAAACTTATCGTCCCCTTTTTTTTTACCGACCTCAAAAAAAATTATCGTGCAATTAATTGATTTATTGACTATCGCGACAGGCCTAGCCCAGTGTTGCTAATTTTACCTTCTGTTGCAATTCTGGTAATAATTTATTCACAGTTTTTCAACTCTCCGCGTATCCACAGCAGTTTTGCAGAAAATTTTCATTTACCTGAAGGAAATTTTATAACTGATTAATTGAACGTTAGATGCAGTATTGTATTTTGTACTTTCTGATCATTGCAAGTAAGGTGAAAGTAGAGAAAGAGTTGGTGTGTGTCATGTGTTCTTTCTTTTAGCCTCAACCAAAACGAGTTACATTCTACGTCTGACGTAAAAGGTAACACCTCCAGGCGTGTAACAGGATGAGAAATAAGACCAGTTCATTATTATAGTAGAAAGAAGTTGTTAGTGTTTTGCAGTCTCTGCTCAGGGCAGGACGGCTGTGTTTTGTTTGGGTTTTCAGATACAGCCCAAGGCCTATGCTGAGTGCTGTGAACATGATTGGAGTCAGAAGATTGAGAATAAAGTTTTTAAGAAGAAATCCAGTAGATTTCTGTTTTGCTCAGACACATTTTTGAACAGCAAAATCATCGGTAAATCATTTTCAACTTATTTAAATATTTTTTGGTTTGTTCAAAGTTTACAAACAGTCTCATCACTTCTAGGAGGTAATGTTACAGAATAACTCACAATGTATTCAGCGATTTCCTCTCTGTCCAATTTACTGGTCACACGAACATTTCCAGTATTAGGGTCAACCACAAACACATGATAGGGAGGTAGGCTTGCACCGATGCCTTCTAATGAGTAGAAAAACGGTTCGTCAAATTCTCTGTCTGATCGAATCTGAAACAGAAAGAGACAATCAACAGATAAACCACAAGGTAAATGTTCTGGTGGCTGCTTCCTAATCTTTGCACAGTTGAACAACTAAATGTTAAAAACACACATATTACACAAATCTAAAGGTTGGTGAAACACTAAATAGGAAAAAAAATGGTTTAGGAACTGAAACTTGGACAGACATGCACAGTATGCAGAGATCGAACAATAGCTTCTGTTGTGGTTAGCTTTATATATTAGTTGACTTTGAGTTTTTTCAGTTGGTATTGCTCACATTTCTTTGATTTCTTTATTGTTCACAGCCAAAAAGCAAATGTGTACAACATTGTTTTTGATTGTATGTATGTTTTTTTGGATATGCATTGTAAGTTGCATATGTTAGAAAAATATCCCATGAACCACAAATTGTAATTAATTCTGCAGAAAGTGGCCATTGGTTATACATCTACAGCTGATTAACTTTCAAATCAAATGAATTAATTATTATTAATTATTGCTCTGCCTCCGCCCACTGGGGCCAGAGGCAGACTGATCTCTGGGTGTCTGTGTGTTAGTGTGGTGTTCGTCCATCATGGGTGGTTTTGTGTACAGGATATCTCCTGATTGAAATTATTTATTTACTTATAAATAGGCATAGTAACTCCATTAGGCTCAGTCTGATTTGATTTGGGCATGAAAGGCTCAAAGGTCAAGGTTATGATGATTGGTAAAATAAAACTAGCTATTTTTTCTAACTCCCTGATGTACAAATAAAATACCTGGTTAAAAAAAGGGAAAATATATTGTATGATACAACACAAATTTGATGAATGTACGGTAAATGCTTTAGGCCACATTAATCCTACTTGAACCTCTAAACATGGCCTTAGCACTGCTGGGAGACGAATCTGTTAATGTTTCTGAGCAGTAGGCAGTCACTTCACTGTAAAAACTGTTCATCTAACCAAGTTTTATAATCTTATATTAACCAAATTTATTTTTATGCCCCTGCCCCAGGAGGCATACTGTCCTCTGGTTGTCCGTCTGTGCGTTGGCTGTCAGTCACACTGTCTTGTGTGCTCTGTCACTCCTGAATGGAGCTATTTATTTCCAGCAGAATTCATTGCTCTTGGCCCAGCAGAGGTCTGAAAATATTTTACGGTCTAACCAAAGCTCAAAGCTGAAGGTCAGGCAAAGTGATCTTTGTGGCTTAGATCTTTTTATTTAGGAGGATACACATAAGAGGTTGGTCACTGACATTAATGATATGGTAAATATCAAAGAGGAAGTCATGTGTAGTTACATACTTATTAGAATATTTAAATCCAAAAATAAAGGTCAGCAGGTACTGCATGCTCAGTGCTTTAAATGCAGACGAGTATTTATTGCACAAGATGTTAACAATATAATAAATTATATATATATAAATGACTATAACTCTGTGCGTTTTACAGATATTGAGATAAATTTTAATGTGGTAATAACAGAGTGATTAACAACACAGACTCCACTTAGCTGTGTATCAAAGTTAGACAGTTGAGAAAAACAGTGACTTACTCTGGCGATAGATTCCTGCTTAGTGTAATCATGATTTTCTATCAGAGGTTTTGGAGGGAGAATCCATTCTCTTTTCTTCCTCACCAGTTTGTCTCTGGGACCTGCCCTCACCACAAGAACAACCTGGAGCTGTAACACGACATAAAACATTCTGCAGTTAGTTCAGACTTCACCCAAAGCCCACTTCTTACCTTGAAAGTCTCATTAATCAACTAAAGCAGGGCTGTCAAGCTCAGGTCCTCGAAGGCTATCCTGCATTTTTTTCCCTTGTTTCTCAGTTCCAACACACCTGATTCAGTTTAATTACTGTTTCTCTCAAATCCTGTAGAAGCCTGTTAATCATCCATTCATGCAAATCAGGTGAGTTTGAGAACTGAAACAAGGAAAAACATGCTGGATTGCAACAACACTTGAGGACCACAGTTCAACATGAACTAGAGCAAACTTCAAGAAAACTCATGAAAAGAATCAGAATCAGGTTTATTGGCCAAGTATGTTGACACACACAAGGAATTTTTTTCTGGCTGTTCGTGTCTCTCTAGTATTAACACTGTACAGACACTTTACATATAATTTACACATATTACACAATATACAGAGAGATTCACATTATACTTCACTTAACCAGGATATATATCTGTGCGGTGTGCTTTACAGTGTTATTCACAAAAAATAAATAAATAAATAAACTATATGACAGCAGTATTCAAAGTGAAAATTAAGTATTAATACGACAGCAGCAGTGTAGAGGTAGATGATTGTGAATAAGGTGCAGTAATGCAGTAATGCAGAATAAGAGTGATAGATAGTTCTCAGTATAGAATATATGATCTAGCTGATGGATGTCTGAGGGTCTCTTGAAGCAGCTGTTTGTATTTTAATAACTCAATAAAAAAACAACTCAATGAGCAACTATCAGCAAAAATACAGTAAAAGCATTTCAGCAGAACATTCAGTGTTTTAGTTGAGTGCCTTTTCCACGAAGGGCACCCAGTGATCTTCCAATGGTTTCTCAGTGGTCTCTCAGCAAACGTGGTCACCTCAGTCAGAATCATGCTTCGAACTGAAGAAAACCAATCATTCTCCCAGCAATTTTACCCGTCCTTTAAAAAATGGAACATATTTGGGAAATTTTCAGTCTCAGCTTGTCACCGAGGATTAACCTTGGATTATATTTCAGTAAGACGTGAGACAGCGTGTAGTATTGGGCAACTTTTTCCTGAGCGAGTATAAAGGGGCTGAAGACGTGGCGGACAATGAATTATCATAGCATAGCTCCTCCCTCTGCACTCCCACAACACATACAAGTACACAAACAGTCATAAAGATGGCTGGATATTGTGTGTTTTTTTATTTATTTCTTCTTACTATTTTTATTACTCAATGATCAGTGTTGTGTTGAGTGAAGAAGAGTCCCTGGAGGAAAAACATTTTTTATGTTGGTGATGGGGGAAAAAAAGACGTGAAAATCTTAAAATCAGAATTCAATTCAGTCTAGCTCTTTTAACAAGTGGCTTCAGGAAAAAAAATCGTTTTAAACAAAATAAGCTGCAGAAGGCAGAGCTGATCAGAGTCCTGCTCCTCAGCGCTGCAGCGGCTGTTCCTCATGAACAAACACACCCACGAAGTTCAAACCAATCACACACTCCCAGCCGCAAGGTCGACACCTCACAGTTCTGACACAGAGAAATGCACAAGACACCTGTCACCGGGGGATGGCAGCGGGAGCAGACAGAAGTTGTGCAATTTTTTTGTCACTCAGCAGGGGGAACAAGACGTGCAGCTCAAAGTATAAAAAAGCCTTTATGTTTAACTCTAAATTTCTGTTTGTCTATCTTGTAAGTGGTTACCGTGGTGACCTTAATGAGTCATTGGCTGTGTCTTTTTAATATTTCCTGAGCGTGTTCTTTTACATGTCTTAGTAGAGCTTGAGCAATATGAGGTTTACAATTTTATGGTCAAATCTGTTATTTTTGACGGCAGTAAGTCGGGCTCGTTTCCGGTGAGAGTTGGACTCCGCCAAGGCTGCCCTTTGTCACCGATTCTGTTCATTACTTTCATGGACAGAATTTCTAGGCGCAGCCGAGGTGTTGAGGGGATCCGTTTTGGTGGCCTTAGGATCGCATCTCTGCTTTTTGCGGATGATGTGGTCCTGTTGGCTTCATCGGAATGAGATCTGCAGCTCTCGCTGGAGCGGTTCGCGGCCGAGTGCGAAGCGGCCGGGATGAAGCTCAGTGCCTCCAAATCCGAGGCCATGGTCTTGAGCCGGAAAAGGGCAGAGTGCCTTCTCCGGGTCAGGGGGGTCGCCCTGTCTCAAGTGGAGGAGTTTAAGTATCTGGGGATCTTGTTCACGAATGGGGGAAGAACGGAGCGGGAGATCGACAGGCGGATTGGCGCAGCGTCTGCTGTAAAGCGGGCGCTGTACCGGTCCGTCGTGGTGAAGAGAGAGCTGAGTCAGAAAGCGAAGCTCTCGATTTACCGGTCGATCTACGTTCCTACCCTCATCTATGGTCATGAGCTTTGGGTCATGACCGAAAGAACGAGGTCCCGGATACAAGCGGCCGAAATGGGTTTCCTCCACAGGGTGGCTGGACTCTCCCTTAGAGATAGGGTGAGAAGCTCGGTCATCCGGGAGGGACTCAGAGTAGAGCCGCTGCTCCTCCACATCGAGAGGAGCCAGTTGAGGTGGCTCGGGCATCTGGTAAGGATGCCTCCTGGACGCCTCCCTGGAGAGGTATTCCGGGCACGTCCCACCGGGAGGAGGCCCCGAGGAAGACTCAGGACACGCTGGAGGGACTATGTCTCTCGGCTGGCCTGGGAACGCCTTGGAGTTCCCCCGGAGGAGCTGGAAGAAGTGGCTGGGGAAAGGGAGGTCTGGGCCTCCCTTCTGAAGCTGCTGCCCCCGCGACCCGACCCCGGATAGGTGGAAGAAAATGGATGGATGGATGGATCTGTTATTTTGTTAAGTCTAAATTCTCAGTAACTCTAACAAAAATTTAAGAGTCTTTTGTGTTGTGTTACTTTCATCCAGTGCCAGCAGTATAACTTTTGAGTGACTTTTTTAATAAATGTTTTTTTGGCTCTGTTCTGCAAGACAAACTTATTTTTAAATTTGATTTAAATCTTGAATTACAGGAGTTTTGCTGTCTCAATCATACATTGTTTTAAAAAAAACTCTTCTTTGTTTGCTTTGGCCAGTTTCAATCCCAGCAGATGAATAGTTTTGGTGTTTGATTCTTTAATTGGACTTTGTTGCCCACATCATGTTTGGGAGGGAAATGGCACCATTTTTTATTCTTTGAATACTTCAATACCAATTTGGCAGAATTTGGCACTCACTATTAGGGTTGGGCGATACTGGCAAAAAAAATTAATCACGATTATTTGTGGTTTTTAATCGATAACGATTAATTTGACGATTAATCCCCTGGAGTCCCTGGACACCCTTATGTCCTGGTCACATGACCAGTTTAGTGGGAAAGATTTGCTCTTCATAAAAGTCTGTTCCAAATTGTCAAAATTACAGACTTTGGGCTATACATCAAATTTTAAATTGTGTTGATAGATAAATTAATTACGTTTTTTTATGTTTGTCATACTTGAAGTGGAGAGGAGCATCAAGCAAACTGTCTGGGGAAATATCCAGTCAGTCTGCCTGGTGGCATTAATCGTATTAATCGTCAAGTGCCAAAAAATAATCGATTAATGCTTTTCTGATGATTAATTGCAGATGATATGATTATGCCCAACCCTACTCACTATGTATTTTTATTTTCCTCCAGTGCACTCACTGTGACAAGACAGGATCAGCGTTGCATCAAAGTGATGTAGAGCAGGAAGATGTGACGTTCGCAAACGATTCGAATTTGAACTTTTGAACGGCTCTTTAAAATGAACCGAGTCGCAAACAAATGGGAACCTTTACTCTTGTAACGCTTTTATGTTTAAGCCAGTAATTCATGACATCCTTTAATGACCTAGATTTTCATGAATTACTGGCTTAAACATAAAAGTATTAGTTCCATTTTTAGTTTTTCCTTCGCGTGATTTCCTCGTATTTTTATCCTCAGATGCAGACACACAATCTCCTCCTTTTCTTTTCCAGGTGAATGAGGAGAGGTAAAGGGGAGGAACATTTATGGTGAACACGAGCTCAGAGCAAAGGCGAGGTGTGTGTGTGTGTGTGTGTGTGTGGGTGACAAGTCTTGTGTTACGGCTCTTTATGTCGCCACATATGGCCTACAGCTGTACGTAGTGATGTAGGCCATAAAGACATCACTGACTGGCTCTTTGAAGTGAACCGTTCCCCAAAATCCGGTTCCCTTAAAAGAATCACATCCCATCCTTAGTAGAGAGGGTAGATGAGATTTGATTAAACAAACGCCTGCAGAGCACCGTCTAGTGATGTTGAATTGAAAGGCTGGACGTTACAGAATAAAATCAACATAAATGTTTTCTTTACTACAGTTTGAATAATTTTGTTCCAACATTTGATGGGTTGAAACACAAAACCTAGAGTTTGACCCGGTGACCAGAGTTTCCCCACGCCTGGTCTAAAATTATAAGACACAAAGTAAGTGACAATCCCTGTATTACAGATAAAGTGAGCGTTCTGCTGGTGTCACTTTGTACTGTGCATCACATTCATTCGTCCCTTTGATGTTTTAGTGGGACAAAGCAAAGAAATTATTATTTCACTACATTTTTGATTGAATGGATTCTGACACTTCTTCTTGCAGTTTATAGGTGATTTATTTATTTTAAATTTTAAATATTCTTTCATTCGTTACATGTTATTGTTTTGTGTTTTGTTTTGTTTTGTTATATTATTATTGTGTGAACTTATACTTGGGGGAAAAGGAGCAGATAATTTAAGATTTTTTTCTTTTTTTCTGCTGCTTTTCTTTTCATTTTATTTATGATTTGTATATAATTCTCTGTTTTTGTATATAGAATTAATTTGTTTTTAAAGAAATGAATAAAGTTTTTGAACTGAATTGAATTGAAATCAAATGAAAAAAATTACACAATATAAAACATAAATGAAATGAAAGGAAAACAAAAATCTTATGACACCTGCCACTTTTTTTCTAAAATAAATAAACAAATAATATTACAGGTTACAAACACACTCAAACCCCGAAACCAAAACAGCATAAAGTCAACAACCTTTTATTGTATTTTTAAACATATAAATTGTTTTGAAGGTTTTAATATGATGATCAAAATTATTCCATTAACGTATTTCTTTAATTACAGAAAAGCGTTCCTTTAAACTAATTTGAAATGGAGGATATTTAAGAATCTCTATTCCCTAAAGATTATATTGACTCTCTTTTATTAAAATGTTATTGAATATTTACAGGTAATATATTTTTATGAGCATTAAACATAACTTGTAAAATACTATAATTTAACAAATCATAAAACTTCAATAATTTAAACTGATGAAATTTGTTGGATTCTCACAGATCTTTTTTGTAAAATAAAAATAAAGGATTTGTAATAGTTTTGCGTTGAAAATGCTTGCGATGAAAATGATACTCTAGTTCAACAACCTCAAAAGGTACATTCAGACTCACAGCATTCAATCAAGATAACACCAAAAATAATATTTTATGAAAATACCGACTGACTTTCATGTTAATGTTATGTCCAGAACATGTTTCTGAGAGCCTGGAAGTGGCAATGCTGCGGTCGATGGAAAACAGTGAAATTGTTTTCCCCTTGATTTCCGATTCATCTTTTTTAAATACAGTATATATTTTTATTAGTGCCTGTTTCAGTTGTGTGGTGTTCTAGATCATATAGTTTCAGTTAACAAATAAATAAATAAATAAACAAACTCTAGCTAGCCAATGATAAGAGCATTTATTTCCTCCTTCTCCTAAAAATTGTATCTAGTTTGTTTTGTTCAAATTAGACTCAGGTTTTCTAGATTTTCAATGTTAAAGCAAAGATTTGAGTCATATTTTTTTACTTAAACTGACTCTACCTTCAATCTCTTAAAGCTCTATCCATTGCACTTAATCATTTTTCTCTTCCCTGAAAGGTGGTGGGCGGTATTCATTAAAGAATGCTAGGCCTTTAATGCCACTTACAAAATGCTTTAATTCTGTAAAAAAAAAATGCAGTTTTTGGTTTATTTAAAAATATACTGTTAGGTAATAATACATGTAATTACAACATTAATCATGGCTTTAAACACAAGAAGTCCTTCTATGGGATCAGGTTATTTGTTTATCAGTTTACATGAATTAATCAGTAAAGAGTAGTTACTGAACACAGCTAAAACAGAAACTTTATTGGTCATTTTAGACTTGGAAAAAAAATCAATCAGATGATCAAATCTAACCATTTAAAAATGTATCTTACCAAAAAGAAGTATACTTCATTTTCCCAAGTGTAGCCTACTTTTATTTTGTAGCTATATATTATAAATCAGGTACCTCTAGCAAGTATGAAAAGTAAATATAACCTACTTTCTTTTTTAAATAAAGGAAATTTGTATCTTTAGTAGGCTAAGGAATGTCATTGGAGTCTGCATAAAACATCATTTTAAACTTAGTTTGAAAGGGGGAGACAAGAATAAATATAAACAAACTCACCGCTATAAGAAGCAAAATAAACCGGTTCGGAGAAGCTCGAACCACCATGGCTGGTTTAAAGTCCCGGATCCGGTCAAAATAAAACCACAGAGAGATTCCAAGTGTTGCTGTGTGTTGGTCGGAAACACAGCAAGCTTTAAAAAGTGAACAGAAGCAGGTGGAAAAGTCTCCTCCCCTGACAATGAAACTAACCTCACCCAGATAAACTAGCCCGGAAGGTTTTGTGACGTGTCGGCACTGGTTCACTGGAACTAGGAGCACAGAAAGGCAGGAACTGGAATTCTCTTTAATGCCTTCAGGACATCATTATATCATATCTCCTTTGTGCTGTTTTACTGGGGGAAAAGGTGCAGGCACTTCCCTGTTAGTGGTTACACACTTTAGTTTTACATTTTTAAATGTTTTAAGCTTTCTGGCTCAATCCCAGTCTCACAATTCAATCCCTACAGTTTAATCTGAGCCCAGTGGCTATATGTGAAACCCCCTTGGCTATAGCTTATTTGGAGGCAATAATAAATATTTAAACATTAACTTTCTGGTTTACATTGGTTACAGTCTGTTTTACACCTGACCTTGTTATAGGGCCAACATCATGTGTTTCTCAGGCATATATTTAAATACTATACCATAATAAAGTATCTATGTCACCTTTAGCTGTTATTAAAATGCTGTTTTTATG